CCCACCTCAGTACATCGTGCCATGTGTGATAAAGTAGCCCTCTTAATTAAGCCAGTGAGCCGCATTCTGGAGACATTCAATTCAAATGACATCAACACAGGCCCAACATCAAACTGGGGAATGCCAAGCAACACATTGTAGGGAGAAGAGTCCATATCCTGGACAAATAAAAAGCCATCAACTCTTTATTCACAGCTAGTTTTTTTTTTTTTTTTAAGATTTTATTTATTTTTTTGACAGAGAGACACAGCGAGAGAGGGAACACAAGCAGGGGGAGTGGGAGAGCGAGAGAGAGAAGCAGGCTTCCCGCCAAGCTGGGAGCCCGATGCGGGGCTCGATCCCAGGACCCTAGGATCATGACCTGAGCCGAAGGCAGATGCTTAATGACTGAGCCACCCAGGCGCCCCCACAGCTAGTTTTTAAAGCACAATCTCTGAGGACTTATTTCTAGCAGTTCATATAGACTCTTCCATTTTGTTTTGTTTTTTCCCCTTTCCACTTGAATGCTTAGTCAACCAAATGAAATGCAAAGAGAGTATCTAACCAAGACCAACAATGTATCCACTGGGGGCCATTACACAAACTCCGTCTTATCTCAAGTTGACTGCATTCACAAGTCTTGGCATTGGAATCCCAGCTGGTTTTTCCCTCCATCCTCCAGTCATTATAATGAAGTTCTCGGGTTCAAGTGCTTTCAAACCTTCAAGACTGCTCTGGCAGATCCTTGAACGAAGATGGCGGCACGATGGCAGAGTTGCCAGGAGGTGCTGCCATCTTTCAAAAACAAGCATCCTGGTTTCCTCAGCAAGAGATGTAGGAAAAGTCTGAGCTCAGCATTAAAACACACACCGGGGGTGTCCAGGAATGACGCATCAACGATTATAAGACTCCAGCCCGTCTCCTGGACTCTAGATTACATGCATTGCATAGAACAGTTTCACGACCCTGAACCTTTGCCCAAGCTCTTCCCTCCATGGGGGACAAATCATCTCTTCCCAGACCACACCCATCTGGCAAACAACTGTTCATCCTTCAAGACTTCAAACAAGTGTGCCTCCTCTCTGAGAGGCTTTGAACCTTGAACAAATTAAATGAAAGAATGCCGGTAAAGCACAAGACTCAGTGTCTGGCACATATAAGCACTCAGTGAACAGAACTGCAATTGTTTATCTACCTTCTTAAGTACCTGTGTCTTGTTTTATAACTGTAGCCCAACGCCCAGCACAGCACCAAGGACATACAGATAAATATTTGCCAAAAGAAAAGACTGAGCCCCTCCCCAACACTCCATCTCAGCCAAACTGGTCTATTCCGTGTTCCCCAGACATGCCTCTTACATCACCCACCCCCATACCTTTGCATATGCTACTTCTCCTTCCCAAGTGACCTTCCTCTCCTCCTCTTCCACCTAACTAGACCCTCCTAGGCCATCTGCAGGTACCCCTGAACTGTAACCCCAGGGGGGCTGGGAGAATCTCCAGTACCCCTCACTCAGGGCTTAGCACACAGCGGGCCCATGAGAGAATGAGCCCATCACTAAATGAGCCAGCAAATGCTGGCCAAGGGTTTGCAGATTTGGGAGAACATTCTCAAGGTTAGCAGAGGCTCTCCACCTGCCCCGTAACAGGGAACCCCCACAGCTGGTGAATCTGTACCTTTAGTCACGGGAGGGGCCTCTGGGACAAACTGTGACCTAAGGCCATGGTCCACAACTGAGTCACTGTGTTTCATGATCCCTGCATGAGTGCAGACCAAAGGCTCATTTTCTGGGGAAAGGAGGGTGCGCCCATCCGTGGGTGGGTGAGGGACAAGGCCCGGCGCAGGGCTCAGATTTGCCACAAGGATCCAAGGCCCTACTAAGTGTAGCCCTGAAAACAATATGGGTGGGGGGAGGGCAGCGAGCACTAGCCAGCGAGTCAGAAAGGTGGTCTGCAGTCCTAGCTCTGTCCTGGCTGCTGTGGGACTCTCCCTGAACAAGACACCTCCCCCTGCTGGGCTCAGCTTCCTCAACAGCAGAAAAACTTCCAAAAAAGATTGGAGATGCTTCCCTGTTCCATCGAGCAGCTCTTCCAGAGAACGCAGAAGAAAAACAAACTGATAGCAAATAATAAACAATACAATAATAGCAGGTAACATTAAACATGCAGTTACTCTTCACGCGGCACTGTGCTAAGTGCTTTATAAACATCATCTCGGCTCGGCTCCAACCTGGGAGAGGTACTTAATGGCTCCAAGCCTCAGTTTTTCCCATCTGTAAAATGGGGATAATACTAGTTTCCATACCACGCAGGAAGCACTGTAAGCTATTAGACATTATTATTACTATGATTTTTACGGAGGAGGAAAAGAGAGGCCGCGAGTGGTAAACTCACTTGCTCACTGCCTCTATTAAATGCCAGGGCCACACCGGTCTGACCTTGTGCTCAGGGTCTGACCAGCCTGTGGGTCAGCCAGGTGTGGGCGGGGCTATGCAAATCAGCAGGGCATTAGCCCTGGCAAGTCCCAGACATCTTTCAGAGGGCGGCCGTGGCAGAAGAGCTGGCGGCCAACCCTGGGCTGAACAAATACCACATTCTCACCCCCAGGGCCGAGGTTGTCTTGCTCCCTCATGAGCTGATACGCCGAGTGCTGCAGGCCCAGAGAGGCGCCAGCACAGGCTGGTCCAGAGACACAGTCCCACGGCAGAAAGGGCCCAGGTCCAAGGCTGGAAGCAGAAGAGGACTAGTCTCCAACCCAGCTCCCCCACATGCTGTGTGGCCTTGGGCAAGTGGCTTAACCTCTCTGAGCCTCAGCTTCCTCCTCTACAACATGGGATTCATACTCCCTCACATGAGGAGTGGAGTGGGGATGGACAAGTCCTAAGACACAGTCTCAAAAAATGGAGATGAACCTGAACCTAAACTGGAAACCAGCAGCACAAAGTCATTAATCGAGAGCGACGGGAGCAGTAGACTCGGTTCACAGGGGAACACCCCCCACCAAGCCCGTCAGGAAGTACGACACACAGGCCTGACTGCCTTCCAGAGGAGTAGGGGCTGCCAGCAGGGCCAAGGGCTCAGGACCCCAGTCCTCAACCCGGACTAGGTCAGGCCTTCTCTCTGGGCCTCAGTTTCCCCTCTTACAATGAGAGAGCTGAAGAAAAGGGAGAGGAGAGGAGGAGGGGGAGGTAGAAGGAAAAGCCATCACTGCAGCCCCAGCATTCACTGAGGATTTCTTCTTCGGAGTGCTGAGCGAGCTCATCTACTCCCCACAGAAATGCTCTTGAGGCCAGATAAGACCGTCCTCCTCTTACAGAAGCAGAAGAAAAAACTGAGGTTCACTGAGGTCCGTCAGATCACTTGCCCAAGGCCACACAGTGGCAGAGCCAGAACTGGACGTCACTTCTCAGCCCCCAGAGCCCAACGCTTAGGTCCCCTGGAGTGAGGCTTTTGGAGCTATGGGAAAGTGAGCTGGACACCACCACCCCCTGGTGGCCACTCCTTGGAATTGCAGGTGTGAGTCCTCAAAGCTGGGAAAGGAGGTCTGAGGCCCCCACCCTCCCCACCTGCATGGGAGAAGAGGAAATCAAGCAGGCAGCAACAGGGCAGGGGCCTCGGGGAGCCGCAAGTACAGAGCCAAGGAAGCCCCCTAGGGATTCCAAGGACAAAGGCTCCTCAATGACAGAGAGTGGAGGAGGGGGAGCCGGGCCACCAGGGAGGATGCCAGCAAGCAGAGACTATAAAAAGACAGGCCTTAAATGCTTTTCTCTCCCTAACCTCTGTCTTCACATACACACACAAAAGTTCAAGTACAATCAGATAAGCTGAGTCCGTGCCGCCAGGGAGGCAATGAGAAAAGAGTAAGGAAGAAATCAGTGGAAAAGAATGTTAAAAAAAAAAAAAAAAAAAAAAAAAGGCAGGTTTCAAACGTGCGCACGTCTGTGGCTGGGATCTGAACACCCAAGGAGGCTTTCCAGGGCCACTCAGCGGACGCTCGCCGAGGTCTGCATTCCTGCTCTGGCTCTCTGTGGCCCCCAGTCCTGCCGTCAGCCCTGCTGATCCTGGCATAGACGTTTTTCCATCTAGAACCCCGCCGGGGGTGTCTCCTCCCCCCTCCCCCCCCCCCCCCCCCCCCGTGTTGCAGAGGACCAAACAGAAGTTCAGGGAAATGAAGTTTCTTGCCCATGACCTTAAAGCCAGAAGCCATGGAACCTAGGATTTCCAACGCTGGAGGATACCAGGTCTCCAAGACATGAGACCAGGCACAAATACCCTTGAAATGTACCAAGCTTGCGATACAAATGACCTCGTGAGTAGAACTGTGGTTGCCTCATTAAAGAAATGCCTATCTTAGGTGCCCCACACGGGGCCTGGGGACAAGAATAATAATAATAATGGTAATGATAACTCTCAGGAAAGCGTTTGCTGTGCACCCAGGATCATGCTGGACGCTTGCCGCATTATCTTCTCTGAGCCCTGCAGCAGCCCTGTGAAGTAGATGCTGTCATTATCCCCATTTCACAGATGAAGAGACTGAAGCCAAACACCTGTCCGCACACAGAGCTAGGGTCTGAGCCCTGGTGATCTGGCTCCAGGACCAGCTTAGTTAAATTAACTCACCGGCGCAAAAGAAACAGAAATCAGGTTTCTAAGTAAAGAAACCAAAGTACCAAGAAGTAAGTCGCTAAAAGAGACTGAGAGGAGCAGTGTTGGGATTCGAACCCCGAACTTTCAGACCCCAGGGCATGTTCTCATCGGCTCCATGCCAGGCAGCCGGGGTTACCTCTCTGCATTGGGCCGGAAACCCGAGAGGGGCGAAGGCAGAGCCACCAACACCCTCCACGTCAAGAACCACCGCGCAGCCAGTCCGGCAACACCAGATTCTTGGACAGGCCCCCGCCGCCCTCGGCCTCCTTGGGCCCCTGGGCCAGCCTTGACTGTCCACACGACCGCATTCCCAGTGGTGTCTGATGCTCACCAACCCCACGCGAGTCCCAGTCCAGCTGTGCCAGCATCACTCACCACGAATGGCCCGCTCCTCTTGTCCTTGCAGAAACTGTGGCTCCTCCAGGGGCCCGAGGCTACGGGGGACCCCTGCCAGGGTGGCTGCTCCTTGTCCGGCAGGGCATCCTCCTTCCCCAGGTCCTGTGGTACAGAACACAAGCAGAGGACTTTACTGGGGCTTTCCCATTTATGGGAAGAATATGTCACAGCGAGAGAGTCCGTTCTGTGCCTAAAAGGGCAAAAAGAAAATTAAGGCACCAGAAACCCCACCCCGCGGCAGTCCACCTTAATGACGGGAGGTAGTATATGGGGTCTGGGTTCAGGCCAGCCTCAGCCACTTAATAACTGTGTGGCCTCAGGCTAATGCCTTAACCTCTCTGAGCCATGACCACGTGGGGAAAGACCCCTAATAACAGTACTCAGCTTCTAGGCTCAGGGGAGAACCAAGTGAGGAGCAGCGCTTGGAAAGTGCGTGACACCGTGCTGCCACCAGGGGGCGCTGTGCACGAGTCCAGGGCCCCTGGCTTGCTTCAGGCTCCTCTCCCCCATGGCTGGTACCTGGGGAGCCCTCCATAAAGGCTAGCCAGCCTCATTATTGTCACTGGTAACTTTTGGTGACCTCATGTCAGACATTTCTCCAAGCCTCCAAACACACATGCACAGAAGCACAGATACAGAGAGAAATGATCTAGGAACAGGGCAGTACTAGATACCCTAGTCTGAATTCTGTGGTTTTGCTCCAGCCGGTCATATATAGGGGATACACTCACAGGCCGTAAATATGGGACTCCAGAATTTGTAGTGCACATGTCTCACATTCTCCCTGCACAGATAAGGGAAGGAAGGCCCAGAGAGGGAAGGCATCTGCTTAAGAACACACAGCACAAGTAAAGAACAAGGCTGGATTCTGGATCCCTTGCCTCACAGACTCTTTGATGCCTTACGAGACCTTCTGTGTGCCCTCCTACCCGCTGGCTGTTCCTTCTCAGCCTCCCCACATCTCAGAGGGATGTCTACTCATCCAGGGCCAGCCCTAGAGCCTTCTCTTTTCCTGCTCCATCTGACTCCCTTGGGGTTCTCTCATAACACCCCCTTGCTTTAAATAAATCCCATCTGTGCACAGCAACTCCCGACTTTGTCTATGTTGGGACCCCTGACTTGCAGATCCCACCATTCACTCCACATCTCCCCACACTGCTCACACTCATCTCAGCCTTCACATGCCCCAAACAGGCCTCCCTATTCCTTCCCTCCAAAATTCCAAAATTCCTCCTCCCCTGCCCTGCCCCTCACCCAGCTGTGCTGGCCAAGATCTTCAGGTCGCCCTCCATTCTTTTGCTTCTCTCCACCTCATCAACAAAGCTGAGACTCTGCCTTCGAAACATGCTGCAAACCTCACATCATAAACCAAAATCAACTCAAAATAGATCAAAGCCCTCAATGCCAGAGCGAAAGCTAGAAAACTCTCAGAAGAAAATACAGGCTTAAATGTTCGTGACCTTGGATTAGGCAGTGGTTTCTCAGATATGGCATCAAAAGCACAAGTGACCAAAAAATAAATAAATTGGAGCTCATCAAAATGAAAAACTTTTGTGCTTCAAAGGGCACCATGGACAAAGTGAAAAATACAACCCAGAGAGTGAGAGGAAATTTCTGCAAATCCTATGTCTGCTAAGGCACTTGTGTCCAGAATATATAAAGAGTAATTACAATTCAATAACAAAAAGAACAATAACCCAATTAAGACCGGACAAAGGATCTGAACAAAGAAGGGATACACATAGTCAAACATGCACATGGAAAGATGGGCCATGGAAAATGCAAGTCAAAACCACAATGAGATACCTTAATACCCAGGAGGATGGCTAGAATCAAAAAGACAGGTAAGTGTTGGCAAAGGATGTAGAGAAATCAGCCCTCACGCACTGCTGGTAGAATGTACAATGGTGCAATTGCCTTGGAAATCAGTGGCCCCGGCCCCCTGTGCCAGCTGGTACCCTTCCAGCATCCACGGGACCAGCTCATCCCCATGACGGCCATCACTCAGGTGGCACCTTTCAGGTCCCCTCCCCAGGAGACCTTCCCCTGACCACCTCTTAGAGTCATCTCCCCATCGCCTCTTCTTCTATCTCCCCAGGACTTAACTACTCTCATTCACTTGGGGTCTGTTTGCCCCCTGGACCGGAGCCTTCCACTGGACCATCTGTGGTTACGGAGATCTTCTTTATCTGGACCATACAATACACCTGCCATGAGTCACCCGTAGCTTTTGAGCACTTGAATGTGGCTAGTGGGACCGAGGAACTGAATTTTTAATCTTGTTTAACTTTAATTTTCATTTAAATTCTGTGGTTTTTCATTGACGCCACATGCGGCTGGTCGCTGCCTTACTACATGGCGTGGCCTGATACCGTGGCCTGGTCCCTCCCAGCAGCCCAGGTGCCTAGAACAGGGCCTGGCACAGGGTTAGCCCATTTACTAAATCTAGTAAGTGAGTGGAGGTCTGGAGGTGCTTCTCTCTGATTCCCTCAAACGTCCTTCACATCAGGCCCTGGGCCAGCAGCTTGACCACATATTGCTTCACAATAAATCTCCAATAAACTGTGAAGCAGGCAGGATTCACATTCCACGGATGAAGAAATTTAGGCTCAGAGAGGTCTGGCAAGATGCCCAGAGTCACACAGCTAATAAGTCACAAAGCTACGGCCTGATGCCAGGTCTGCCCAACAGACAGTCCAGGGCTGTTTCCAGGGAGAAATCAAATCGTAAGAGTATAAATGGTTCACCTTCCTAATAAAGAACTCCAACAACTCAAGGAAAAAAGGACCAAGGACGAGGTTCTAAAAGAACAGCGGGCAGAACAGAAGCAAGTGGGTGACTGGAAGGAAAAACAGAGCCTCATGCACGTGACAAGAGGAGGGGCGCTCATCAGGGGCATGCCGTCCCCAAGTCTGGTAATGTACCGGGTGGCTCAGGCGGAGGGGAAATGGGGTCCTGTCATTGAGGGCAAGGATGGGACCAGGTACAGCCCCCCAACGCTGGGCACTCAGGCAGGATCCTGCAAAATTACAACGGTGCTCCCCCTAGACACTCACCACCCTAAGCCCACGGAAAACCTGCTCATGTGCAAAATGACGTCAGAACATGGTTGGTATTTAGCAAAAGATCAGGAATATCACCCATCTCTACCGTACAGCAATCAGGAAGAATGAGGACGCCCTGTAGGCTGAATCCGAAAGCTCTCAAAGACACATATATGGATGTGAGCCTGGGTGGCTCAGTGGGTTAAGCGTCTGCCTACGGCTCAGGTCATGATCCTGAGGTCCTGGGATCGAGCCCTGCATCAGGCTCTCCACTCAGCGGCGAGTCTGCTTCTCCCTCTCCCTCTGCCCCTGCTTGTGCTCTCTCTCTCTCAAATAAATAAATAAAATCTTAAAAAAAAAAAAAAAGAACTTGTGTTTGTATTTGCTTGTATTTTCGGAAAGAAACTCTATATGAATTTGGACCAGAAAAGAAGCTAAGTGGTCACGGGATGGGAGGAATGCTGAGGATGGGCGAGAAGAGGACAAGGGGGTTGATACTCCATTCCTTTAAGTATTTTCGGAGCCTCTTGACAATGTTCTCTCCTTTGAAATTCAAATAAATCAGTTAATTAAATAGAATACTACAATCTGTCATGGGACAAAGTTTTGATAAATGTTTCTTCAGTGAAAAAGAAAAAGAGAGAAAGAGGAGGGAGGGAGGGAGGGAGGGGGGATCACTTTAAGTACAAACACACCCCACGCGGGATATGTGGGCAGCACTGACTGTGAATCAAGAAAGCCTCACCCCGGGGGGAGAATGCTTGCACCAAGATGCTCCCTGAAGCCCTGTTTGTGACTCAAAGACTCAACCAACCCAAATGTCCATCCACAAGTGTCCAGATAAAAAAAGTTTGGGCTCAGTCACTTAACAAAGTACTTTACAGCCACTGAAAATAATAAAGTGATTATCTACATACTGGTTGCTTTTTTTTTTAACTGTTAAGTTAAAAAAAAGCAAGTTGTAGATTTTCTGTAGAACGTTGCCATGTTTCCATTAAGACAGCATGTGATTTACCTGTATCTGTACCTGGCTGGCCTTCCTTACCTGTGGAGCCACGTGCATTAGGGGCGGGATGATTCTCAGGGCTGGGGGTCAGGGAGCCCATCTGTGCGTGGTAGGATGCTGGAAGGCTGTACCCCACACTCATCATTTAGGGGAGCCTCTCATTCTAAACCGTGTGCTTACCATAACACATTCAACTTCACACGAGCGTGCACTGCTTTTGCAGGAAGGAAAATACAACTACAAATAGAGATGCAACTCTGTGGTGTAGGAAAGCCCCAAAGATCCCAAAAACGAACAGTGGCTCCCTGGTGGGGGGTGGGGGGTGGGGTCCAGGGATACACGCTCTTATACACTCTCGTAAGGTCAGAATTTTTAAGGACCAACATTTTGTACTTCTGGGTGGCTCTTATCTATTTTTTCAAGATCAGGAACCAAAGCTGGTTGGGCAGGAAAGAAGGGAAACAGGGAGCTGGTCCAAGGCGTCCCAATCCCTCGGTGAGAAAACAGATCCTCTGACAACAAGCACTCCTGGGGCCTGCGCATCCCGGGCCGGCATCCAAGGCCAGGCCGGGGGGCCCCCTCCATGCCGCCCTGACTCTCCCACTGCCAGAAGGCCCCTGAGCAAGGCGCTGGCAAATGGATTAGGTGTCACATTTCCTCGTCTTACCCTGTCTCCCGCTGTGCCCACAATAACAGCCTTGTGGAACCCCTCCTGGGGCGGCGCCTCAGCAGAACCCACGAGCTGGCCCTGCGCTCGCACCCACCGGGCCTGCCCACAGAGCTGCCGGGCAGAAACTTCTGTCCACTCTGGTGAGGGATCGGAGGCCCAGGGAGGCAAAGTCACTGCTTCACGCACAGCTGGTGAGCGGCAGACTGGCGTGTGAACGCGGGACCTGGAAAGCCCTGGGTGACCCTTCGTGTCACGATCTGTGTTGGCCTCACCCCACTGTTTCATTTCTACCATGTCCCTGTCCAGGTTGGACCCTCTACTTTCTTTTTACAGATGAGGAAACTGAGGCACAGAGCCTCGGAGAAGGGGTTTGCCCTTCATCACTCAGTCTAAGAAGCCGAGGTGGGTTACATCCATATGCAACCAAAGTTTCAACCCCGTTAAGAGAATGCTCTCTTGGATGGAAAAGAGAGGCAAAAATAAGAATTTGTGTTCATATTTGCTTGTATTTTCAGAAAGAAACTCTATGGGAATTTGGGCCAGAAAAGAAGCTGAGTGGTCACGGGGTGGGAGGAATGCTGAGGATGGGCGAGAGAGGGATAAGGGGTTGATACTCAGATTTCTTCCCCATCTTCAAGGTTCCTCGTTCACCACCGAGGAGCCTATTTGAAAGCTTGGGTGTCAAGCCAGACCTGGGTTCAAACCATAGGTTGCCATTTGGTGCTGTGTGACCCGAGACAAGTTACTTAACTTCTCTGAGCCTGGGTTTTTTCCATCTGTACAAGAAGATCAGGTCTGCCACTGATGTTGTGGGCCCCCTGCCCTGCCCAACACTCGAGTACTTGCCAATGGCAATGGTGTCCTGCTGGGGGGTAGTTTATTCTCCGCCACTGAGCGTGGCACCAGCCAGGATGGAAGAGTCTGGATGTCGATAGCCCCAGAAATAGCCTCAGGAGAGGGCAGAAGGGAACTGGAAAATAAATACGCCAGGTTCCTTGCCCCTGGGACAGGACAAGTCAGGGGTGATCTATGCCACTTCCCAGAGGTCTCCAGCAAGAAGGAGCCTCAGAGGCCACAGGGGCACCGTTCTCATCAGCCTCCCCCTTCCCTGCCTCACTTCTCCACTGGGACCCTGCCAGGGATCACCTTCTAAAATAACTACCTGCGGGACACCTGGGTGGCTCAGTCAGTTAAGCGTCTGACTCTTGATTTCGGCTCAGGTCATGATCACAGGGTCGTGAGATCGAGCCCCGTGTCGGGCTCTATGCTCAGCAGGGAGTCTGTTTGTCCTCCTTCTGCTCCTCCCCCAGCTCATGCTCTCTCTCTCTCTCAAATAAATGAATAAATAAATAAATGAATGAATAAATAAATAAATAAATAAATAAATAAATAAATAAAATCTTAAAAAATAAAAATAAAACAACTGCTTGTAAGGGTCTGCTTCTACGGAAACCCAAACCACCACAATCCCACAAAAGAGGGATTGCCATGAGACTCACATAAGATTGCTCCTTCACTCATTCAACAAGTATTCCTTGCATGTTCATAAAATGTCATCCATGCAGGATGCTGCTTATGAGGGACAGGATAATGAACTGGAAACAACATATACTGGAACAGACAGCGGGTGCTCGATAAACGATCATCATCATTCTGGGCCAGAGATTTCAAATTGGTGGCGCATGGACTAAATGGAGCCAGCACGTGTTAAGAACCAGCTGGACCTGGGCAATAGCTGCCTCTGCCCCTCCCCCCCAGGAATGAGCTATTTGCCACAATCCCCACCACTCCCTAGAGTCCCACAACCAGCCTGACTCCATTCATTTACATACCCACCTGGCCCACGTGGGATGGGAGTTTGAGACCCCTGGCCTATGTGTCTAACCAACGTTTTACAAAACCAAAACAGCCTTCCTGCTCACCTTTTGACCGTCTCGAGTCCCCGACTCTCGCCGGCAGGGCCCCATTTTGGTCTCCTTGGCCTCAGAACTGTCTCCGGGGAGGCTGGACCTCCCTCTGGGTTGCTCTTGCCTCCTCTCTCTGGCTTCCTGCATGACAGACAGGCCCTCTCGGACTTTGGCAGGGGGCCCCTTCTCCGAATAGGCCCTCTTGACACTCAGCGGTGACCTGCCACAGTCGTATGAGTGATCGCCCCGCTGGACCACACTGTCCTCCTCTCCTCTCCCAATGGATTTCCTTGGGGTCCCTTTCCTCTGGTCAGTGGGAGAGGATCTGGCCAACACGCTGGCCCCACTGCCCAGATCCTCCCAGGGAGTGGGCTTTGACTCGTCTGGGGAGTTCGGATACTTTGCACTCTGAGGTTTACTAACCAAATCCTTTCTGTCACCCTCAGGGGTTCCCAAAACTTGTCCCCGGGGACCCGCGGGGCCAGAAGAGGCCCCTGGATACTTTTCATTAGGAGCTGAGAGTGGCAAAGCCCACAGACGAGGGCTGAGTGTGGGGTTCGCGGCTGCCCCCGGGGCCTCTGCTGGCTGCTGGCCGGAGCCAGGACTGGAACCGTGGTTTGCTTCGGCAAAACTGGCTTGTTTCCGGAGACCCTCAGCTTCAGACCTCTCCTTCGAGCTCCTCCTTCTTGGGTCCACCCTGCCTTGCCGGCCAGGCCTCTCCAGAGTCGAGCCGCTGGATGCTGTGGGCGTACCCACCACTGACTCCTGGCCCTCCTGCTTCTTGTAGTCCGCCATCAGGGCGTCAATGTCGAGAACGCTGGATCTGTAGCCATCTTTGATTTTCCCTGGGACCCTCGCACTGACCACTTCAGGGTCCCTTCTGATGAGGAGATCGCTGGCTTCCAGGTGGCTTTTGGGAGCATTGCTGGGCGGTGTCCTGTTCCCACTATCCTTCCGATTGCTCTGAAAACCGATGCCATCTTCTGGTCCCCGGCGGATCCATAAAGCATCAGCATCCATGCTTCTTTCACTAGAAGGATCCAGAGTCCTGTACCCAAGAGGTGATGGGTGGTCTGCTGGCTTCGGAGGTTTTGAACAGCTTGCGCTATGGCGCTCTTTGCCGTTAGCCCAGTTGTTACTGCCCTTGGCCTCCAGTGGCTCTTCATGGTTAAGAGAAACCAATGTGGATGTCAGAGGATGAGAAGGAGGTGGGACTGTTTTTCTAGAATATTCCGTCAAGTTTTCAGGCCCTGGCCTAACAATACTCTTTGCTTTTTGAGTATCGGGAATCTGATACGTCACTGCAAAAAATGTCGCCCTGGGTTCCAAAGAGGACCCCTGCTTCACCGCTGGCCTAGTCGGGTCCTGGGAAGCACCTGGGCTCACCTCCTGGGTCTCCACCCTATGGTGGGATAGCTCAGGTTTTCTTAAGGCACTGGGGGTGGGGCTCCAATGGTCTGTTCGTCTCTGCTCCACCTTCCAAGAGTTTTCTGGGGCCAGGAAGCTGAATTCGTCAAACTTCACGTCGTGGGGCAACGTCCGCCGCCGCCACCTCTCGAACCTCTGGTCCAGGGGACCCGCCTTCTGCATCTTGGCCTCGGGCTCCGGTGCCTGGGCCGGCTGTGGCTCACCCTCACCAGCAGCTACAGCGAGGGGTCCCTTCTGCACCCACTCTTCTGGATGCGACCTTGCCCAGAAGTCAGACGGCTCGCCCTTACCCCTGGGAGGAAGATCCAGAGGGCACCCCCAGGGGGGACCCCTTTCTCCCGCTGAGCTGCAGCCTCCTGGCTTGTTCCTGGCCTCATCAGGCCCCTCCTGCAGGGCCTCCCAGACGGCAGCCTGGGTGGCCCTCCCAGAGCTGGCTTGGGGACCACAGGGCCTGGCTGAGCGCTCGCTGTTGATCTCGGGGCCCGGTTCCGAGCCTTTCTCTTCACTGGCCACCACAGTGGCTTTATGCCAGTTCACGGTCACCCCACCTGTCCATTTGGGTGACAGGCAATTGCCCCCAAACGTGTCCTTCGGCTCTCGGAAGTCCGGCTTTGGCCCACTGACTTCATGAGTCCCTCGAGCTTCCCAAATCAAACTGGCCCTTTGGACAGACCCCGCCTGACCTCCCAGCCTGCACTCTGGGTCAGCAGGGGTGACCTCGTGGGACTGCTGTCTCTCCTTCGGTGAGAGCTGAGACCTGCCACTTCGCAGGGTCATGGCTTTTTCCTCCAACGCCGTGGAGACGGCCTCACTGTGCACACGCTTGCCCACCGTGTGCAGGATGTCATACTTGGGCTCGACCCTCTGGGATGGGGGAGGATTTTCAGAGCGTTGGAGGAAGGGGTTTTTATGGCGTTTTTCATCCAAAGGGTGTTCTTCCGGGAGGGGCACGTGATACTGTTTGGGTTCACCATTCGAAAGGGTGGTCCGTCCCCATTTCTCTGTATTGGGATTTTCAACCCATCTGGAGTTCTGTTTCGTGAGGTTTGTCTTTTCCAGCAGGTCCTTCCCCAGCCAAGAGCTTCTCTCGTGCCTGGGTCTGACTTCTGAGACATGGGCATCTGCCACATCTCTGTGTGGCGTGGCCGAGGGACAGTGTCGCGACTGGTCAGCCACGGTGTGTCTCTCCACGTGATGCTCAAACACTGTGGCCCACACAGTCTGGAAGCTTCCATCATCTTCTGGAGTGCTGTCAGAAGGGCTCAGAGCCCCCACCGAGCTTTTACCCCGACAGTTGCTGGGGACTTGGTTAGAACTGTCTTTCCACTCTGTCTGCCTAGACTTCTCCCGGAGCGAACCAGGCTTCCAGGGGCTTCTTGGGAGGGATGCTCCATCCACACCATGCCCTTCCTTTTGCTGAAAAAAAAAAGAGAAACAATCCAACTTAAGTTAAGCGACTTGAAAGAGAAAGGAAGTGGTGAGATGATCAAAACAGCTGCTTTTAAAATCACAACTGTGAGATACCATAAAATTCCAAAGACTGAACACACCCAGTGTGGGTGAGGATGTGGGAAAATGGACACTCTTGGATACTGTTGGCAAGGACATAAATGGGTACGACTTTTGGATGGTTCAGTATACATGTCATGATCCTAAAATACTCATTTCCTTTTAATCTGGCCAATTTCCTCCCAAGACTCTTTCTTGGCCCAGATGCCCAAGTCTGGCTAAACAAGAGTGCTCGGGGAGCACTGCTAAGAGAGATAGCAAATGACACAGAAACAAACCTAAATGCCCACCTGTAGGGCTCGGGCTAAATGAGCTCCGACATAATCCAGACAATGGAATGCCACAGGGTGCCTGGATCCTGAAGGGGGGTGGCTCCTAATGTCACATCTGACAACACACAAAACACTGTGGTGTGGGTGGGAGAAAAGCAGACTGTGAAAGAGTGTATTTATAAAACAATACCGTTTCTAAACAACTGTGTGTGTACATGTATGCACGTGCAGATAAACAGCGGAGAAAAGATAGAAATCAAACTGTGAGTAAGGGAGTGAAGGGAGGATGAAGGCACGGGGAGGAGAACATCGTTTTTCCTCTTGCGCACTCAGTTCTGTTCGACTTCATAATATGCGTGAATTCCTTAGTCATTTCTTGGTCTAGAAAGAAGTCTACTTCAACAAGGTAAAGACTATCTAACCCAGCAATCCCGTTCCTGGGGAGATACCCAAAAGAAGTGAAAACAGGGGTCCAAATAAAGACTTGCATACCGATGTCTACTGAAGTATGATGCACAATCACCAAAAGGTGGAAACCACCCAGATGTCCACCAGAAGAAGAACAGATACCCAAACTGTGGTCTATCCATACAGTGGGACGGTATGCAGGCATAAAAAGGAACAAAGTACTGATTTATGCTCCAATGGATGAACCTTCAAAGCATTATGTTAACTGAAAGAAGCTAGACACAAAGGGATAGGTGTTTTGTGATTCCATTTATATGGAATGTCCAGAATGGGCAAGTCTATAGGGCCAGAAAGTAGACTCGTGGTTGCCAGAGGCCACAGGTGGGAGATAGGAAGTGAATGGCTGGCTCAGTCAGCAGAGTGTGTGACTCTCGATCTCCAGGTCGTGAGTTCGAGCCCCACGCTGGGTGCAGAGATTACTTAAATTGAAAAAAATAAAAATATTTTTAAAATTTTTAAAAATTAAGAAAAAAATAAAAGTAAATAAATTCTGGAACTAGATGGTGGTGGTGGTAGTACAACACTGAGAATACACTTCATGTCACTGAATTATTCACTTTAAAATGGTTAGGATGGGGGCGCCTGGGTGGCTCGGTCAGTTGAGCATCTGACTCTTGATTTCGGCTCAGGTCATGATCTCAGGGTCCTGGGATCGAGCCCCATTCAGCGGGGAGTTTGCTTGTCTCCCTCTCCCTCTGTCCCTTCCCCACCTCATGCTCTCTTTCTCTCTCAAATAAATAAATCTTAAAAAAAAAAATAAAAATAAAATGGTTAAGATACATACAGGGCCACAGTTTGCTAATCTCTACTGCAGATGATGGAATGCCATAAAGAACTGAAAAAATATTTTCATTTGAAGTTTTTGTTTACATTTGATTACATAAAAATTGCATAAATAATACACGAATCCATTCCCTCTAAACAATACAAAGCTCAAGTCCTTTTTGAGACTTCAAATATCCAAATACCAGGGCCCTTCCTGGATAACAGCTGTTATCAATGGGGAGCAGTATATCCGTGAAGAACTTTCCAGAACTTTCTCCTAGTATGTGTGTGTGTATTTTTATATATGTGTGTATACATATGTATAAAGACTTTTTAAATTTAAAAATACATGCATTGTTCTTAAAAAAATGAAAATTGTATATTTTATGTTATGTGTCTTTTACTACAATAAAAAAATTACCGACAGAAAAATCTATTTACAGAGATCAAATCTCTGTATTAAATAAAGCAAGGGTTCCTTTATTAACTTTCATTTCTTTAAAGTTTTCTCACACATACAAAATTATAGAGAAAATAATAAATTCATCCCAACCCATTCCCTCAATTCAAGGACAACCAGCAGTTTGTCCCACTTGCTTCACAGGGTCCTTTTTGTTCTTGTTGTTACCACTATACCATTTTAATGTGAATATAAGAGGCTTTACTTCAACCGGACCCTCTCTCAACGGCTTTCAAAGAAGTGACTCAGAACATCCAAGGATAAAAAGCAGGTCAAACCCCCGCCCCTAGAAGTGGTGGCTCTGCCCTTCAGATCCAGCTCCCAGGGTACAAACGCGCTTGCCACCAAGCTCTGGTGTTTAAAAGTCCGCATAAGTGTCTTAAAAAGTGAAACTACACCTACCATACTACCCAGCCATTCCTAGGCATCTACCCAAGAGAAAAGGCAATAGATAGCCCTACAAAGCCTTGCCCACAAATGTTCAGAGCAATAGCTCCAAAATGGGAAACAACCCAAATGTCCATCAACAGGGCGAAGAGATAAACAAATCATGGTCTACCCACACAATGGAATGCTACTCAGCTACAAAGAAGGAATAAACTATTGATAAACATGCATACAGCATGACACAACTCAAAGTAATTATTCTGAGTGAAAGAAGAGAGATCAAAAAAAAAAAAAAAGCACTGGTTGCATTTATAGAAAAATCTAGGAAAAAATCTAGAAAATGCAAACTGAGCCATAGGAACAGAAAGCAGATTGGTGGCTGTTTGAGGGTAGGAGGAGGGGCCAGGAGTGGTTACAAAAGAAGAAACTTGCAGGTGCTGGAGATGTTCTGTATCTTGATGGTGATACATTTTCGCCCAGTGCACATGTATATGTCAAAACTCATCCATGCACACTCAAAATGGGTCCAGTTTCCTGTACATCAATTATACCTCAAAAAAAGCTGTTTTAAAAAAATTAAAACTCCGCAGGAGGCATCAACCACAAATGGGTTAGACCTAGTAGTTATTTTATGAGCTTCTCCTTATTAAATAAGATTAAATAAAAATACTTTTAAGCAATTTAGTTGCTGGTAGTTTCCCTCCTTCTGCTACTGCTAGGTGACAAGCCAAGGTAGGGAAGGGAACAGGGACCACACTGAGGGAACCTGAAGGAGTGTCTATGAACAGTTTTAACCTAAATTTTAATTTCTTAATAAAGCAGGCATTCGTACGTAAAAAAGCCAGGTCCCTCTTGCTCTTTGCACAGGAAAAAAAAATAAAACCTGGCAATTACATTTGTAAACAATATTTAACACTAAGGAGTGCAGAATCACAAACCCAAAAGGGACTTGAAAAGTCCCGGCATTAAAGAAAAAAAAATGTTTCATTCTTCATGAGAGGCTTCTGATTCTTTCCTGGGCTCTTTTTCCAGTAAGGGAAGCTACCCACTGGAAAACAAGATGTGCCAAACCCGGGGGCTCTTTACCTTTTCTCCAGGTTCCTTAGGAAGCTCGCCACTTAGCTCAGGACACTTCTCATACTTGACTTCATTGCTTGACGCTGGACTCGAAAACCTGGTACAGAGATCCACGTTACTTGTTTGGGGCCAGAATCTGTGACTCCCTCCAGCCCACACCCTGTAACTAGCTCACGAACCCAGGGGTGAGATTAGCATTGAGATCAACAAAGCAACACCACCTGGTTTGCTCTGAGAAAAGATGCGTCCTTTCCGTTCGCCAAACCCAGAAGGGCCCGGTGGGGGACGGCTTACCTTAAACACAACATCGTTGGGGCACCAGAAGCCCCAGGCTTGGGTGAAGAGACCTGGGTGTCAGTCCTGGCTACACTGCCTCCCCACTGCAGGAGCTTGGGCTGCGCTCGTGACTTCACCTGAGCCTCTGTCTCTTCATCTATAAAACGGGGATAATTAACACCTCCCCATTGTCTTTTGCTACCCAAGGCCCTAATAGCTATGTGAGGGCGTTTAGGGAAGAGTAAAGATGCCCCAGGAGGGATAATTAATGGTTGTTGTTAGCAATCCCAGGCACACCAGAAGCCCCACCACAGACCTGCCACGGGACTCGGGGGTGGTGGGTTGTCATGGAATGTGTGGGGGCACGGGCCTGTCGCTGCCTCTCTGGGTAAGCTTGGCCAAGTCATCGTCCCTCCCTGGGCCTCAGTTTCCCCACTTGTCAAGGGGAAGAGAAAGAAAGGGTATTCTGGTGCTAGAATGTTCCCATCTCTGAAGAGCTCTTGGAATGGATGTCTAATGATGAATTCGGCGCTGGGGGCTGCAGAGACAAGGGAGGGGAGAGAAATAAACCACTTCACCTGGTCCCACTCTACAGTCCTTCAGGGTCTGCCTGCCGGGAGGCATGAGGCCGTGGGTGAGTTATTCCCACACTCAAGCCTCAGTTTCCCCATCTGTCAGATGAGAATAATCCGAGGCACTGGGAGGACACGGGAAAAGGTGTGTGAGGTCCCTGGGATGGGCGCCTCTTTCTCTGCTATCTTAACTCGGGCCTGGCTGCACAGGACAATCACTTGGGAAGCTTCTGCAAACAACCAAGATATGAACCTCCTCCCCAGACCAATGGAATCAGAATCTCGAGTTTGTGGGGGAGGGGTGCCCCAGGCCTCGGGATTTTGTTCCAGATGCTTCTCTCTCTGCTGAGAGCCACTGGCCTGACCGTGGCCCAGCTGGCTGCCCTGGTTCCCAGGGCCCAGAGGTGACCCCTGGAAGCTCCGACCTGACAAAGGTATGTCAGTGGCATGGGTATCATTAAGGACCTGGTGGCCACACCCAGTGGCATCTCCCTGTTGAAGCCGGGAAGCCACTTGTGGGAAAGCAAAAGAGCAAGAGATAGCAGAGGCCGGCTGAGCTTAGAAAATCCTCAACTAACAGGATTCATCGTGTCGTTTGGACCTACCATGTAGTGCTGGCTTCCCGTGGGCAGAGTGAGTCACAGCGTTATCTGTGAGCCTTTGCCTTAATCCTTCAAGGAAGGGTTGCGTTTTAAAGACAAAGAAACCAAGGCTCAAAAGGGGAAGGGACTTGCTCAAGCTATCTTGACCCGTTTGATTTTACTTGGGGGCCACTCATGGAGGCTCAGGCCATAGAGTAATGTCCTCAGGCTTCTGGAAAGGCAAGCTGAGCCAGGGACCCAGGCTGTGCTGGAGTTACATGGGGCTCTGGACTTCCTCACGGTACTTCACCTCTCCTATCCGCCTCTGTGAAATGGGCACAATACCTCCCACTGCAAAGTGTAAAGAGGAGAAAGGACAAGGAAATGGAGCTGCGGGCATATACCGAACCTGGAGGGGGGCTGTGTTACCTCTCTGCACCTCAGGTCTTTGTCTGAGAAATGGAAGCTAAGGCCACCTCCTCTCGGAGGCTGTGGGTAAATGGAGAGGGAGGGCTGTAAGGTGCCTAGCGTGGAGCCTGGCACCCAGTTCCCTTTCCTGAGGGGCCTCTGGCAGGCGGTCTGAGGCAGCTCAGGGCTGAGCGAAGCCCGTGGAACATTCCCACTTACAGTTTGGTCAGATCCGCCGACAACGGCCGTGCCTGGAAAGTCTTCCTCCTGATCTCCAGCTTTGCCTCGGAGCTCTCGGCAGCCCAGCCTTTGATCCGCTCCTGGACGCTCACACCCACTTTCTCAGGCTCTGGGGCAGCCGACGGGGGCTCAGGGGTGGCCGGTGGAGGTCCAGATTCTGCTGCCAAGGCCACGATGCTCTCCTCCCCAAATAGGCTGAGGCGCTTCTTGACGCTGTCCCGGGGGGCCCGTCCTCCCTCCAGCCGGCTTTCCCCGTCAGCTGCTCTGCTCTTGACCTCGGCAAATTCTTGGTCTTTTCCCGGTCTGGGTGAGGGGGACAGGGGCACCTTCTCCGGCTCCCTGAGCAGTTTGGCTTTCTCTTCCCCGGGATGCTGGTCATCCGTGGGGGTGTCCCTGGCTGAGCCCCCCGCAGTTCTGAGGCTGCCCGTCTCCGCCTGCTTGAAAAGCACCTTCTCCTTCTGTTCTCGGGTCTTCCTGGCTACCTCCAGGAAGTCTGAGTCTGGGTCACGAAGGCGAAGGTTTGCTCTGACCAAACACTCCATGTCCACTTTGGGCTCCGGGTCGGCCCCCTCCAGCCCCCGACACTGGACAGTGGAACCTGTGGCGGCCTCGTCGGCCACCTTCTTCAGCAGGGCCTCTTTGCTCTCAAACCGGGACGTGAGGTCCATGGACAGAGGCCTGGGCTTCCTCACCCATGTCTTCTCAGGCGGGGTAGGGGGCGCCTTCCCCATCGCAGCCGCCCCGCCGGGGCCGGGCTTCTGAGGCTGAATGGAGTCGATGAAAATGGCCGACACGGGCCTTCTCCTCAGGCGAGGCTTGGGCTCCAGGGCGGGGTCCCCCGTGTCCTCCACACTCCTGGCCTTCCACAGAGTCTCACTTGGGCCTGTCTCGTCTTGGGGGGCAGCTGGCTTGATGTCCTGTGACAGGGAGGCCGGGCGGGGAAGGGTCCCAGGCTTTCGGGCAGGCAGGGCAGGCTTGACGGCCACCTCGGGCCGGGAGCCCAGAGCGGGCTCCCGACACACACCCGTGGTGGCCTCCCGAGCCCCCTCACTGACCCCCTTTCCCGGAGCGGGGCCAGCTTTGGTAGTTTCAAAGACAATCATGGCGCTGGATCGGGGCCGTGGGAAGGCGGCCTTGTTGAACAGAGATGAGCTTCTCCTCAGGCCCTCCCCGTGCCCCACCTCCTGCCCCACCAAGCTGGGCATCTTCTCGCTCAGGTCCTTTGCCACCACGTCCTGGGAGCGCCCACAGGGAGGAGACAGGCTAGTTGGGCCAGGCCCCAAGGATGGGACAAGGGGTTTCACGTCCGGGGCCTTTTCCCTGCAGAAGGGCTTGGGGGCAAGTCTGGGCAGTAAGCGGGCCGGGCTCCTAAGGGGGCTTTTTCCTTCCAAGAGCAGCGCTGAGGGCGCCCCGGGGGCATCGCCGGCCTGGCAGAAGTAGGTCCGCTTCAGGGTCTCCTCCTTGGAGATCTCGCCGAGGCCTGGCACTCCTGTCAGGGAAGTTATGGAACCGACCTCGACCCGAGTCGCCATGGCTACAGCTGTGGATCCATGGGGATTAAGAACATCCGAACTAGGGAAGCAACCACTAAAAGGAAAAAAGCAAAGGAGAGGAAAAAAATAAACTTAAATCTCAGTGTCTGAGTCTAAGCAAAGCGTTTTGGGGGAATGGGCCCGGGAGGCCAGAGCCCTGGGTGCTGGACGACCACTCTCCACCGACCTCACTGGGGAAGCCCGGGGCCGGCCTCTCCACCTCGCTGAACTCCGGGCCATCTCAGAAGTTGGTTCCAGCCCCAACGGTCAGGAAAGGGTGGCGACATTCCCTGGGACCTTCCCCACTCAGCTAGTCTCAAGGCCAGCTCTTAGTAAAAAGGGATTATCTCTGCTATACAGAGAAGGAAACCAGCTCAGAGAGGCCAAGGAATGGCCTGATGTCACTTAGAGAGTAAGGGGCAAAGTCGGGATTCGAACCCAGGTGGGACTCCAAACGCACACCACACACCCCCAGCATAGGCTCTGGGGAGAGCACCCTCACGTCCCCTCACTCCTGTTACCCCCAAGTCATTTCCCATTTCGGAGCCTGCTCACATCAGGCATCCCCGCTGACCCTCCTCACAACCCTGTACTGAGCACCAAGCACAGCGAGGGTAGGGGACCAGGCCCAGCACACACAGCTACCAAGAGCTGGAGTCCCTGAGGTCACAAAGTTGGTTAGTGGTCCCCAGCCCCACTAGACATCCCTTATCTCCATCTTCCCACACACACCCTTCCAGATGCCTTCGAGCAAAAAGCCATTTTTTTTTTCACCCCACCTGCTGTTTTTCTTGGTTTGCCTTTGGGTTCTTTTCTGTCGAACACCTATTCCGCGCTGGCTGCCTTCAGAGCTCACCAGGAGCGGGGCCTCAAGGTAAGCCAGGCGCTTCATACGTTTTATAAATCACATCCTCTTTATAACCCTATGAGGTGGGTATGATAATCATCAGACCGCATTTTACAGCGGCTCTGGCGTAAGCCCCTTGTTTATCCAGCTAGGAGCTCTGTCCTCTCTTATAAATCCCGCACAACCCTGAGAAGCATGGGTCATCACTATCACTATGAGGACGAAGAGTAAGGGCCCAGAGAGGTCACCCGACTTGCCGACATCACACAGCTGAAACTCGACCTCATGTCCTCACCCCACTCAACCAGGCCTTCTTAAACATCACATCATATTCCTTTCTGGTCTGAAAAAGTGCCAGACAAGTCGCTGTTCTTGATCCCCCCACACACACCAGCCTGCCCCCACTTTCATGCCCATGTTCTCTGTCCCTGCAAAGGCTGCCCCCAGCCTGCCCCCATCTAGATGGACTAAAAGTAGAAGGTATTTCAGTTAACCGCGAGCCTCCTGCTTCCCTTCCTGGGGCCCCACTCTGCTGCCCCCGGCTCTGACTCACTCCGCAGCCTGCAGGAAAGAAAGGCAGACAGATTTTGATATTTTCTCTTCCTTACACGCTCGATGGTGCTAACAGATTTCTTCTCCCCAAAACCAGAGAACGCTGTCTAGACAGCATTAGAGGCAACAGAGAGGGAGAGATGCGGAGAATCGGAGAACGGCAGAGTTGTAAGGCATATCGGGTCCTGCCCCAAATCAGGACCATTCACCTTCAGAGCCAGTCCCCACGACCTCTTGGAAACCCTGCTCTGGGATCCACACACACGCACGTGTAGCCCAGACATGAGACACAGGGCAATAACGGGATTCAAAAGGCAGAGAGAAAATTCCCTGGCAGAACCCGCAGGCGCCCTCCACCTCCTGGACACTCCAGGCCCACTTACCTGGGCTGGCCGGCCCTGGCTGGAGATGCGTGCCTGCCCGACAAAGCCAACAGCGTCCCGTCTCATGGCGAACGGGGCTGGCTGCACCCTCCCATGGCAGAAGCGGGTGGGGGAAGGAAGCCTCGCCCCTCCCCACCCCGGGGCTGTTTCAGTACGTCTGGGAGACACAGGACCACAGCCTCAGTTCCGGAAGTATGTGCACAGACAGCACAAAAGCTTTGGAATTCCAACTGCATCTGTTAGCATCATCTCCAGCTTGGAAAACGCACACTCCTTGTGGCTTCTCAATACTGTAGCAGAAAGAGGGCTGAGTCCACGCTGGGTGCTCAATAAAAATCTCCCCCGTTCCTCTGCTACATGTTTACTGAGCACCTGCCACGTGCACAAAGATGAACAAGAAAAATCCCCTGCGTGCAGGGAACTCGCCGTCTTGTGTAAGAAACACACACACACACGCACACTGAAGCAATTACAACTCTGGGTAATAAACACCATGGTATATAGAGGGGGATGTGGGGGCACAGGAATAGTATTCACTGCTTAGGATTGGGAATGGTGATCCCGGAAGACTCCCTAGGCTGAGAGGTGACACCAGAGAACTCCGGTGCTGGCTAATTTGGGAGCTGTTTCTCCTGGCTCAGAAGAAGTATTTGAACATTGCAACTGTTGGAAGTCCTGAAACGCCGCCTCAGGACCTTTGCACATGCTGTGCCTATTTCCAGGATACCCTTCTCACTCACACACAGACACAGGCCCAGCCCTCAGAACACAGCTCCAACATCTCTGCCCCTACCAACACACACACACACACACACACACACACACACACAACCTGGTACAATCTTCATTTTACATGTCCATGGAGCACCAGACATCCTCAGCAGGACTCATCATAGTTACACGGTTGTATTGAATGCCGCGTGAGCCTTCAGTCTTTCCCATCCAGTGGCAAGCCCCCAGAGGGCACCCTGAGTCCCCAGAAGCGAGCACGGCGGCCTGGCCTATCATAGCTCTGAATACATCATTGCTGAGTATATACATAAAATAATGGTTGGTGGAATGAAGAAATAGGTGAATGAAGAGACCTTCTTCTGCTCCCTAGGCTCCTAAGATTCTGAATAAGGACAGGTACCGTGAGTTTCATGACATGAAGCAATCGAGGACACAGGAAGAGTTACTCTGGCTCTGGCAAGTTGGGTAGTGGCCATCGGTCAGTTGCTACTGGATGACAGAACCCAAGAGCTGGAAAAAACTCAGCTGGGAGCTCAATCTGCCTACCTCACCAAGAGCACCCCGCCCCTCCCCATTGTCTCTGGACCACAGGAAGGTGCTCTACTGCCCCAGATAGGCCCCGGTCAGAGACACCTGCTGTGATCACATGAACCCCACACTGTCCTGCCCCGTCGCCTGCTCCTCTACCCAAGCGTGGAATGAACAGTTCTCTGCACAGCTTGTCCCGGGAAGGAAGTCATCCAGAGCAACCACTGGCAAATTAGGATCGACGGTGCACGCGTGTTGCCCTACCCTGGGATCCTTGAACCCAGCTCACTAGCCACCCCGCAGGGAAGTAAAGGGGGAAAGAAGACTCTTGGTCCGTACTCCTCTTAACCGGAACAGTGGCTCTGTTATCTGGAATCTGCATCACATCTTGGGCTTCCTCTCGAGTTTCCATTTAAAACGCCTGGCAAATACTGGGTATGTAAATATGGCTACACCAACGAATCCACAAATTAATGAATCCATCAGTGAACAAAGGGTGGGGGGAAGAGACGGGTTTGGTTTTTTTGTTTTTTGGGTTTTTTTTTGTTTTTGGGGGGGTTTTTTTGAACCCCTGCAATCAACAGCTAAATAACATTTTGAAGTCTCTCCCAAACCTAGAAACACAGGACTCTCAGGGTTTCATTTAACCTGTTGTAAAAAACACAAGGAAACTGATTGAAATGTGCGCCTTAAAACCTTACTTTAAATGCATCGCATATGTCATGCTTAATTTAAGACATGTCGGTCTCTTCCAAAACACTTCAGAAGCTCGCTCACACAGAGGCCAGCTGCTATGCCTTGCGTGGCCTCGCTCGCTCTTTGTAAATGTATGAGCTCTACAGCCAGAGCCAAGCAAACCAGAGCTCCCTGAAGAAGGAAGGGGCACAGAGTGCGAGCCACCTCTCTGGTCGTATCTGTATGAATCATCATGGGGGCGGGGGGCGGCATGGGGGACAGACAGGGAACAGGCCTGATCTGGGAGGTCAGGGGGCCACGGTGGCCCAGGGGGCAGAGGACCCCAGTCTGATCTCCAGTAATGGGGACAGCAATGGGTACGTCCCTGTCGCTGAACCTGCCACGTTTACAGGCTGGATCTCCCTGGGTGGATCTGCAAAGTCTGAAATGCCCATTTCCTGCAACTTTATGCCAAGAAGCCCATTTTCCTGGGAACTGAGGCACTAAGGCCCAGAGTGGCTGGAATTCGGCAGGAGTCATTCATCAGAGCATCCGTCCGTCCATCCAGCCTTCTGACTCCCCTGCAAACCAGGCTCTGGGCTCGGTGCTGGGAGGGGGAGGGGGGTGCAGCCATGTCGCTCATAGCCTCCTCCCCACCCCGACAGAACCACACAGGGAGAAGGCAGGAGAAGCACCTCCATTCAAAACCAAACAGTTTGGCAGCTTTTCTCTCAGATTCACAGGCGTTGATTCGGTCTAACAGCTGCTGCAGATCTTTCATAATTACACCCTTAAATCCGATCTGGGAGCTCACCAGCCATTCACTCAGACGTCTCTGGGTGCCGCTTCCTGGGAATGCCACCATCTGCTGAGGGGTGCGAGCCAGTCCTCACGCCTTCCGGTGTCTTCCGGAATGCGACCTGGCCTCCCAAATCTGCAAAGCCACCCTGCGCAGGGCACCGTGTCAGGTGCCAAGGACATGCCCGTGGCCTCCCCAGAGAGCAGGGCCCCCACTGGCAGGGGCCCGATGGCTGATGGCACTGGAGTGAATGCGTCCTCTCCTCTCCGTCCCCATGGCGACGGCCCTAGCTCGTTCACTCGTTCATTCATCCGTTCATTCACGCCAATATGCAATTGTGGAGCACCTACCATGTACCAGGCTCTGGGCCAGGCGCTGGGGACACGGTGGTGAAGAAAACATGTGGCCATGTCCCCTGTCCCCCCCCGGAGCTGGTCGTCAAGAAGACGGGAGCAAACAACATAAATAAGCAAGAGACATAGAAAGTTAGACCAGCGACAATAAAGAGGGGAGGGGCCGGGGGAAAACTTCACGAAGAA